GGCAAGGGGGACCACAAAGCCCCCACTACCTTGCCCTGTCCTCTGTAAGGTCCTTCCCCTAAATAACGAGGCAGGGCAGGAGCTACCTTGAGAGAGGATGCTGTGCTCCCTGGCCATCCCTGGGTGCTTTCGGTAGAGGTGGCCAAAGCATTTGCAACGGAGCAGTTGGAAAAATGCAAGAATGCAAAAATGCTCTTGGTTTCAACTATATTTGTAACAGCAAAAAAGTAAAAACAAATCATCAGCAAAAGGAGAAAGTCAAGCGATTCCCTTCAGCTTTATCGTCTTGATTCCTGCGTTAAGGCATGCATGGAAATGTTAATTATTAATTCAGACAATGTTAACATTGTTTACGTATCATTTTGCTGTGTATCTTATATAGCCTTTTAATTGAGATGCACAAAGAGTTGAAATGATAATGTGGAAATCAAACGTCTTGGCTCATCAAAGGGACGCTTTTTTTTTTCCCCTTGCTGAAATGACATGTTTTAGAAGTGAAGCCTCTGAGCGTTATCCAGATTTGACATTTCCAGGGTCCCAAGCCAATTTTTTGTCAGAAATTTCATTTTGGAGGAAATATTAGAATTGTGGCTCTTTTGTTCCCAGTTCACAGAAAGCATTTTTTATATCTATCGCAGGTTCCCGCAGAACAGATTCCAGTTCGAATTTCAATCATGTTCTGCAGAGAGGACATACATACACAGTTCTCATTTCCTAGAGGAACGTGAACCCAATAGTGATATTCCAGTAGTGATATGCCATTTTTGCTAGCTAGAGTGATGAGGGCAAGAGTTAACTAGAGGTGGGGAGAAGGCATGAAATCACTATAAGCAATTATAACGGTCACAGATTGGAGTGTGTGGGACAGAGAGACTCCAGGTCAAGAGGGAATAATATAGGTAGAAGAAATCCATCTGGCTAATCTAGCTATTGCACCATTTCCCACATCTCTAATTTAACTGAACATTAATTAAAATCTTTTGCTTCACTGTGATCTTCTTCACTTTCACAGATTTTATTCTTTTAAAAATCCTGCTCATCCCAAGAATTAATATGATGATGAATATTAATAAATGCAAAGGTCAGGTATACACATCCAAATGTCAGGACCCATGGTACATCCTTGTGAGTGCTAAATCCTGAAAATCTCTCCTTCCTTTAACAGAGTGCTCAGTCACTGGCTCTTGTTTCAGGATAGCAGAGAGCTGACTACCTTAATGTTATGTTTGGCATGGACTAGGAGACATGAGAATACTAAATGCAAGAGAATTCAAGCCCAGGCTGTTCATTAGGGATAATTAATGGATTGTGCTGGGGCTTAAGCAGTTGGCTTAAAAAATGACCTCTGTCACTTAAGTTGAAGGTGATTCTCTGTTAGTGCTTCAGGGCTCATGTACACATCATGATTTTTAAACCAGGGACCCGGCTTAATTCGTTTGAAAACCTAGTGCGTGTAAACATAGATGTGACGCTCCAAAATAAACAAGCTTAAATGTTATAAACCTATTTAATTTAATGAGGATTAAAACCCATGATGTGTACAGGTGCCCTAAGTGACTTAGGAGACTCAGTGTATGTCTATCGTGCAGTGTGGTGTGGATGAACCCAAGCTAGCTTCAAACCAGCAGGGGCATGTAGTGGTACCAGTATAGCCACTATGGAGCTCAGCTTGGGCTGGCCACCCAAGAAGTCAGCTATTTGAGCAAGTTTTGACTTGCACCAAATTTTGTATTGCTGTGACTATGCTGCTAATGCACAGGCTAGCTAAATTAAAGCTAACCTGGGCACGTTAACATAAGCTGCAGTCACAGCTGTGCATGCATAGTATAGAGAGAACCTCAATTCTGTCAGTGTTCAATGAGTCATAAAAATCAAAGTGACTTTGGAAAATGGGACTTTGTGTCCAAAGTCACAGAGGTGCTTTTGAAAACATTACTCCAGATACTAGCAAGGCTGAATATTTTTGCTCTACAAAGGCGGTGGTGCAAGATGATACTGCATTGTAGAGGCTACTATCATTTTTTCTGTCATTATGGCTGGTAAGCGGAAACATTCTTGTACTGGGCATTGGTTCAGAGTGATTAATGTACCTCATTACCCAGATAATTCCAAGTTGAGTGCCATCTGCCTAACATATGCCAGGGGTATCAAGTCATAGGCATGTCTGGTTGAGTTGCATCTGACTACGTGATGTGTGATCATCATTGACATTCTCCATTCATTATTGCTATCTATTTATCAGTCATATTGCAGTCGAGCCACTGCACTAAATGCTCTTTAAATACACAACAGACAGCCCCTTCCCCATCAAGCTTGAAATCTTGTCAAGTATATTGCCACGTATTTAGGGGTCTGCCTTAAGGTGCTGTCTCCTAAGGTGCATATGTAGCAATGAGGACCACGTGCTGCCCCTCGACGTTGTCTCAGATGAACATCAAACACAAAGACATCATCATTTTAAAGGTCACATGGGAACCTCCTTGTATCACCACCTCTCATACTGAGAGCACCCTGTTCTGACATGCAGAAGAGGGTCTGTTTGTCTGTCTCTGCCAGTGCTTTCTTCTTGCGGGGAGCAGAGATCAACAGCCAATTGTTGCATTTCTATCCAGGTAGTGAGGTGCATACCCAGGAAATCTAAGCTAGTGTTGGGAAAAGGCATTGGCCAGTTGATGATCCTGAAGGCTGAAACCCTCTATAGGAGGGTAGCATCCGTTCAATTTCCTCTACACTATTCCCACCCCGAAGTGCCTTATCTCTTGCTTAGACCAGCGTTTCTCAACCCGTGGGCTGTGACCCAAAAGTGCATCGCAAGAATATATGAAATGGTTGCGAACAAACTTTAAAAATGGATCGACAAATGAGTTCTCCTTTCATTCCTGCCCAGGGCAGGGGGTCAGACTTGATGATCTACTTAGGTCCTTTCTGACCCTACATCTATGAAACTATGAAAGGAGAAAAATGTGTGAAACAGGGGCTTTTCCCTTGCAGGCTGGCAGAGTTCCTGCCTCCAAGGGGCTGCTTGGGACC